GGGTGGTGAGGGCGGCGGAGGAGAAGGCGGAGGCGGGCTTGGCGGCGGCGGCGAGGGCGGGGGAGGCGAGGGCGGTGGTGGAGACGGAGGCGGGCTCGGAGGCGGCGGGCTCGGTGGTGGGGGTGAGGGCGGTGGTGGGCTTGGAGGCGGCGGCGACGGTGGCGGCGGGCTGGGCGGCGGCGGGGAGGGCGGAGGCGGACTTGGAGGCGGAGGGCTCGGAGGCGGCGGCGAGGGCGGCGGCGGCGAGGGTGGTGGTGGTGATGGCGGCGGAGGGCTGGGCGGCGGCGGCGAGGGAGGAGGCGGACTTGGCGGTGGCGGCGACGGAGGGGGTGGTGAGGGCGGCGGAGGAGAAGGCGGAGGCGGGCTTGGCGGCGGCGGCGAGGGCGGGGGAGGCGAGGGCGAGGCGGAGGGAGGCGGTGGCGAGGGCGAGGCGGACGGCGGTGGCGGCGACGGCGATGTCGAGGGAGGTGGCGGCGACGGTGAGGCGGAGGGAGGCGGCGGCGAGGGCGACGCTGACGGCGGCGGCGGCGAGGGCGAGGTGGAGGGAGGCGGCGGCGAGGGCGACCCGGAGGGAGGCGGTGGTGAGGGTGAGGTGGACGGCGGCGGCGGAGACGGTGAGGCGGAGGGAGGCGGCGGCCAGGGCGAGGCGTACGGCGGCGGCGGCGACGGCGATGCCGAGCGAGGCGGCGGCGAGGGCGACACGGACGGAGGCGGCGGCGATGGCGAGGTGGAGGGAGGCGGTGGCGAGGGCGACGCGGACGGCGGTGGCGGCGGCGGCGATGCTGAGGGCGGCGGGGGCGACGGCGATGCCGAGGGAGGCGGCGGCGAGGGCGAGGCGGACGGCGGTGGCGGCGACGGCGATGCCGAGGGAGGCGGTGGCGACGGCGAGGCGGACGGAGGTGGCGGCGACGGTGAGGCGGAGGGAGGCGGCGGCGAGGGCGAGGCGGAGGGAGGCGGCGGCGATGGTGAGGCGGAAGGATGCGGCGGCGAGGGCGAGGCGGACGGCGGTGGCGGCGAGGGCGAGGCGGAGGGAGGCGGCGGCGAGGGCGAGGCGGAGGGAGGCGGCGGAGATGGTGAGGCGGAGGGAGGCGGCGGAGATGGTGAGGCGTAGGGAGGCGGCGGCGAGGGCTAGGCGTAGGGAGGCGGCGGCGAGGGCGACGCGGACGGCGGCGGCTGCGAGGGCGAGGCGTAGGGAGGTGGCGGTGACTGTGAGGTGGACGGCGGCGGCGCCTATGGTGAGTCGGATGGAGGCGGTGGTGTCGGTGAGGTGGACGGCGGCGGCGGA